CATGAACTTTTTGAAGACTTCCTCCCCAGACGACTGAGCCTTTCTTTGCCGTGTGCCAAGTGTGCAGCTTGCCGCAGGCGGTGAGACCAGTCCCTACCCTCCCAATCAAGGCAAACATATAGAGAGCACATGGAACAAGCCAGACCTTGCACTAAACATTTGACCTAAGTTACCTCATTTGTTCCTTACAACTCTGAAAGGCTGGAACTAATGTTAGTCACAGTTTACAGAAGTGGAAACGGAGACAGGGAGAGCTCAAGCGTGCTGCTCATAGTCATGCAGCCCTGAAGTGGTAGGGCTGGCAGTGAAACCCAGGCAGGCAGCACAGCCTCTGGGAGCTAGCAGAACTAACCAGCTAAGCTTACCAGGTGCCAGATGCTGGTACACATTTAGCAGAGAGCACAGAGTGAAAGCTCCCAGTTCACTCTGGAGCCAGGTTACCTGAATTCACGTCCAGGCTCTGCTGACTCCCAGCTATATGACCCGGACAAGGAACTAACCTCAACATAAGTGGGGATAAAAATCAGATCTAGCTTATAAAGTTGTTGTGAGAATTAAAAATGAATCATATAAAGTGCTGGGGCCAGCAGGTGGCGTGGTGGTGAAGGCACTGAACACTCCCACATGGCCAACCATGGTTCGAGTCCCTGACCTGGTGGCTTGCTTTCTCACTTTTCATCTCTCTCTCTGGTCAAATTCAAATAAAATGAATTAATACATAAAATTAAATAAATAATTCTTAAAAAATAATATAAAGTGCTGAGAATAGTAATAGACACACAGCAAGAGCTATGGAGTATTATTATAATCGTTAATTCTCAAAAACAACTCTAGGATCGAGCCTGGAGGCACAATCGGTAACAAATTGAACTGCAGTACCGGAAGCCACATGGCTGGCTGTGGTTTTATATCCCTGGGTTGACCTGAAACACTGAGCCCAAGATCCTGGTAAGCAGGAGGGCTGGGGGGTGATGAGACCCATCAAAAATGTTCTCCCTTCATGAAAGAGAGACACTGTATGTCCCTACTTAATATATACCAAATGTCTGCACTCTGTGGCAGAAAATGAAAGACTGGAAGATATGAAAGCATGGAGAACAATTGCGGATACTAGAGACAGCGTAGGAGGAGGGTGGGAGATGGGGAAGGATGAGAGGAAGGAAATCAAGGGGAAAAGAAAGAAGCAAAACATTTAAAGGACACAAAAAATGTAAAATTATCTGTTGATGATAAATACATGATAATATCTTTAAATGGACTAATATACAGAGTATTCATGCTGGGAAAATTCATTTTGCAAGCTGAAGCTGTAATGATAAACAGAGATCGGATGTATAGAATTAAATAAATAAATAATGCTTCCCCACTACTACCACTATGCACACATGCTATCAGGAATAAGATAAATAAAACTTAAAAAAAAAAAAAAAAAAAAGAAGCCACAATTCCATGTAAACTTATACTCATCTTCATGACTGGGGAAGGAATAGTCACTTGCCCAAGGACACAGAGCTGGAATTCAAACACATGTCTCCCTGGATCTGGCATCAGAATCTAAAGCACGTGTTCTTTTTTTTTTTTTTTTTCTTTTGGAGAGGTTTTTGCT